ATATAGGGGACTACTATGGGGGGTATTAAGGGGGATACTAGGAGTTTAGACTATAGCTCATATGACTATAACATTTCAGGGAACCTTAAACAGAACCTCCCCGAGCTCCCTCGAAGTGGTGCTTCAAGTAGACAAGGGGTCCCGGTGGCCTTATTTCAAGCTTGGGAAGGGTTAGAAGTTAGAAGGCGCTTAAACCCGAAACCCAAAATCCTTAACCCAAAATCCTAAACCCTAAACGCTATGCCCCAAACTAAACCGCATAGCTAAACCCCGCATAGCGCCCACCTCTGTGCAGCGCGCTGCTCTCTGCGCGCCACCCGCGGCCCCCTCGACAAACTCGAATGGAAAGCGTACGAGGCAGCAAGGTTTGAGGGATTACTTGGAGGATCATGGGATTTAGTAACCATTCATAACTTGGGCTATGTCACTACTCATCATTTGGGTGACCCCCATGAGTTAGTTCATTTAGGAGGAGTATCAGTAGGTCTGTAAGCCCAGTTATAAGTGGTTACTAAGTCCCATGAGCCTCCAAGTAGAGTTGTGGGCTTAGGTTTCATTGGGAAGCAGCAATCCTGCATCTAAGATCAAACATCTGCTTCTCCCCAAGCACTCTGTGCCCCTGATTCCATTTGCCCACCTTTTAGGTTCAAAACCAGACATGACAGCCCGGAATCACATCATGATGCCTGCAGCCTCCTAGATTGCGGGACCCATCCAGACTTTTGTGTGATGCAAGGTCATGCAGGGTGGTGGTCTCTGTAGAAAGTTTATTGTTGCTTGGGGAAAACGCTGGCTTGCCGCTTGCACGTTCTCGGGCTTGGTGTTAGAGTCAAAGGGATAGAGGCGATTTGTTGTTGAATGGCGTTGCCATGCAGAATCCAGCCCACATTCGATGCGAGAACAGAAGATCGGTACTGCTACGCGCAAGAACGAGCTCTAGAAGTTCATAATGAGAATACCTTACTGAATGAAGATTCTTGCTGAGAAGCGATGGTCACTGGCAACATATCTTAGTAAGCAAATGGGGCATTCCTTCGCAGTTGTGTATACAGCGGTTTCGTTCCGATAATGGTATCAGTTCTGACGTTCGAAAGATAGGGGCTCACACGAAAGCAGCTTCCCAAAGCCATTGATGAGATGTTGGGTATTGTTAGTACATCGTATAAAGTTAAGCGCCCGTGCAAGTTGAAAAGTTCAAGCCTGAAGCCTATAGATACAAACCCTGAGATCACCTGCGCACCTCCAAAAAAGGTTGGATAATATTTCTAATATAAAGAACACTGCTCGTCATATTGCCCCCATCATGGACTGTTACTAGGTGGGGGCAGTACCTAATGTCAAGCCATGAGCAGAGAGATCCAAGCGCCCTTGTCCCTGAATGGACTGCTATTACTGCAATTACCATTAAGTATTCTTATTGTTTTCATTATTACTAGTACTATGTATTTGTATTCGTATTATTAATACCATTCCTGCTATTGATTCAAGCCCTGAAAGCGCATCCCAATCCTTTGTGGCGTCCTCTTCAGGGAAAGTCCAAAGCTTGCTCCTACTCAGGAACCGGCCATCGCACTGCCCTGGTAAACAGCATACTCTTCGTAAACGTCCCGGGGCCCCTAAAGTATGTAGAATCATGGCCAGTGCAAAATTTTGGATGGTTTTGGGAAACAATTTGCCTTAGCCTTGAGGTCCAGTTAGTGGCTACAGCAACCCTGGCTCCTGAACTGCTTGCCATGAGCCGCCTTGGTTGATGGCAAGGCCTGTCGAGGATACACCGCCCCTCCCTACACCTTCCCCTTTCGTGAGTGGATTCGGCGCGTGGCTGAGTTGGAGCGTTCCGTTTAGGGTTGGAGGTTTAGGGTTTGGGCTGGTTTTTGGTTCATGTTTGGGGTTGCAGGGTCTCAATAGCAAAACAGGACTCGTCCTGTCACCACGACTCACTTCATTTTTGCTGTGCGCCGCCCTCGTGCGCAATCTAAATGCGCGCTGCGCGCGTCAGCACAAGTCAAGCAAGATGAGGTGCATCTCCTGCAGCTGAGAAGTACCGAAAGATCGAAAAGGTGCGGCTGGTTTACTGCAGTCGGCCAAGATGTTTGTGCCATTGTACCACTAGCAAGACCGTAATCTAGGGTTCCTCCATCTACTGTTACCTGCAATTCGATGGCGTAATGAAAGGTTAGGCTCAGCTTCTCGCAGCGAACATCCAACTTATTATGTTGACGGCCAGCCACTTGGATGTGCTTACATATCTTTGGAGTGTGCACATGTACACAGCTTTCGGGAGGCCTGAAGAGTTTGGGAGCCTTGATTGGGCCAATCTCTGAGCAAGCACAGAAAGACTTTGCACAAAGGACTCAGATCAGAGATTAGCCACTCGAAAGTTGAGGAATTTGAGAGTTGCTTCTTTGGGTCCTGCGGGGGAGGACTTATTCATGAAAGGATGGCATCATGCGGATCAAACATGCCCAAGAACAGCTCAACCATTCACATTAAGAAAGTGAGCTACGGACAGCTACATTGCCGTGGCGTTGAGAAACGGATTTAGCTTGGGGCTGTTGAGTCTTTGAAGATTGCTGCCCACATGCCAGGTCGGTGTGGGTGCATACGGCAGTGTCAGCCACTCACTGCTTGACCACTGCAGATCCAGGTACGTACAGCATTTTAAGACGAATGTTTTCGGCCTGTCCACCTGTGTTTCTTGACGCAGTTGCTGCCAGCTGGGAGTTTCGCATGACTGGCATCAAGTTTCCTGATCTGGACGTGATGTGTGGTTTTCTTTGTCTTGCTCAGATCTCTGGCGGGGTGTGGCACAGTTGGGACAGAATTTCGCATGCAAATCTGTCCATGCCACTGGATGCCCTAGGTCTTCAAAGCAGAGAACACTGAAACAAAAGAGATTGTTGCGATCAAAGCAGCGCTGCTGCCTCAGCGAGAGCTCGGGCAGTGCTAGGCTGTGCAATATCGGTTTAGGGTTCAGGGTTTAGGGTTTAGTGTGTCATTCATCCTAGGACCCTAGGGGTTCTTGGTACTCATTGTGAGCCTGTTTAAAGTTCGCACTATTTAACAAGCTTCAAGTACATACGGTCATGCAGGATGTGTCCGATGTTTACTTGGAGAAGCACGTTCATGCCTCACAAGCTGTCAAGTTTCTGCGAGAGGTCGAGGAAGGAAGACCCTGTTTGGGGCGGATTTCCTCTTAGTTTGCTGTGCGGTGCTGAGGCTGCTGACTCTGTGCGCTCTGATACAGTTCGGAACAAGAGTTCCCGGTAGTGGGTGCGGAGGAAAGCATGATAGGATTGCGTTGACTAAGTTTTCCAATTTCGTAGATGGCATGGGTATGATGTCAGGGAGTCGTTCCCCATACCACCTCTTCTGCTTGGGAGAATCTTGCGTTGCTGTGCACACATGCCAAATTGCAGTCAGTACTGATGCAATCTCTACATGTTGTAAATTTTTGTGTGTGGGGGCGTTTCAAAATTACGGGGGCAAGATTATCAAGCATTTTCGCAGCCCCTAAACACAGACTGGGCCTCTTCGGCATTCCCACTCAACCGGGTCTTATACTCACAGACCGTACAGTATTCCAAGCAAAGGCCTAAACCCCGAGCCCCCCCAAACCCGAAGACCTAAACCCTAGGCAAGCAAAGGCCCCAGGGAGGAAACAATCAGTGTTCAACCCACAGTTCCTGAAGGCCAAGGACCTCAAACTTGAAGCTGCCGGCTCCACTTCATATGAGCTATCGTCTAAATTCCTAGTGTCCCCCTTCACAGGCCCTCTAATAGTCCTCTCTATATAACCCCCCTTGAAGGACTTTAGACTACAGCTCATATGAGGGGCTCTCCAACTGATGGTTCTTTCTGGCTTCCACCTTAATAAGGCAAAAAGTTTCTTGCAAAAGAAGGCAGACCCCAGTTTGAAGGAACTACACACAGCCCCTCGCCCTGAGGCGAGAGATCAGCATCCTAAGAAGTATTCGGCACGATAACATCGTTCGCGCCTGAGCACGAGAAGGCTTATATAAGCAGTAGGATTTCCTGTTGCGCTAGCTGCTTGCTTGGATATTGCTTTTTCTCATCTTCTTCTATGATTGTTATCGCTGCTGCTACCACCACTACCCTTCCTGATAGTATCAGAAGCAACTAAATTTGCAAGAGTTTAAGTTGAGAGAATGGCGGGGATTTGGCGGAACTGGTGATTGTGGTGGTTGTTGTTGTTGTTGTTGTTGTTGTTGTGGTGCTGCTGTTGGTGCTGGTGCTGGTGGCGGCGGTGGCGGTGGCGTGGTGGACCCCCCACCCACCCTGTAATAGTGACATAATAGGAATATACGGACGGCCGTGGGGGGTCCACCTAAGTTCTATGGCTTATCGCGTTTTTCGCGGCTTGGGCTCCGCAGGTTGGTGGATTCAATCATCATTGTCAGGGTCTGTCAATGAGGGCTTCATAATGTTGAGAAATCTTCAGCTGTGTTTAAAGAATGCCCTGCAACTGAGAATTGCAAGACTTGTGCTTTCGTGTTTTCATATGATCTAGGACCTATAGAATGCCATCACAGGTGGGTGGTTTACACGAGGGTTGCTCCCATGGTGCTTCCATACCACGCCCACAGGACTGGTATACCTCATCCTACCAGGGGTGTCCCTAAACCCTCAGCCCTGAACCCTCAATCCTAAACCCGGGAGACAAGCCTCTCCTGAGCTTGTCTCCTCGGGCTGTGGGGTTCACCATCATGGTTTCGGCAGGAGGTCTAATATCTCTACGGCAATCAAGGAGGGTATACATAGAATATTTTATCATAACCTCAATATATTGGTTGGGCGAAACCTACACTTTCCTGGCCTTTGGTTAGCTAGGAATGAAGGAACGGATCCTCATAGTAGTCCCGATATAACCCATTATCGTACTTTTTTCCATTGCTCCATTCCCAGCTGACCAAACGTAAGTTGCCAAGGTGCAGATGCACGAGGTTGCTCACACAACAAATGGCGAGCCATTGATCGTCATGGAGTTTTGCCTTGGCCTCATGGTATTGTTTAGGGTTAAGCGTTTAGGGTTCAGGGTTTAGGGTAGGGCTGCATGGAAAACTACAGTCCTCATGCTTAGTTGGGCATAACGGCATGCGTCACAGGGATCAGCCACTAAATGAGGATGCTCTAGGGACTGCTGATGGGATCAAGTTGGGGAAGCTTCAGCAATATGAAGGCTGACCCTAACCCAAGGTAGAAGTCTTTGCCCCTAAGCTCCTTAAACCTAACCCTAAAAACCTGAACCCGAAACCTTGACCCTAACCCATGGTTGAAATGCGGTTGTCATTTGCTTGCAGAGGCATCCTCAAGGCTGCTTGCAAACCCCCATGGTTTAGGACTTAGGGCACTATTTGAATAATCTATTCCATCATGCTTTCAGGGCCAGGGAGTTGTGCATACTTCTTCTGTCCCGGCCTTTCAGGTATCAAACTCACCTTAAACCCTCAAATCCTGGGGCCTGGACTTTGGCAGCGCAAAACATTCTGCCCGCTGTTTTAAGGCCAGGCGTCCTTATTGGAGCTCATCCACTCGCCAAAGCACGACCTTTCCTTCAGCGAGATCAAGTACATTATTAGACAGGCTGGACTTTGGGCTTTGAAGGTGTAGGAGGCTTAGGGTCTAGGCGTGCTGAATGACGATCCTGCACATTTCCCACAGCTCCATTTCATGGCCTGAAAGCGGGCCTGAAATTTAATGGGGCGAAAGCTGGGGGCGGAAGTTAACGTCTCATGGAAAGGTGTGAAACTGACAAGCATCATGAACCTGCTGGAAAGGGGTCGTATTGGAGCAGGCTTTGTCATTCAGTCGGTAGGCTCAATGATGTTTCACATCATGGGCAGACTTTTCCTGATTTGTCGGAAGCCAGGGTGCTCCAAAAGAACGGTACTGGCATGCGGTATACCCAATACACAAACCTGAATGATTATGAGCAGCGCAGAGCACACCCTAAGGCGCTAAGGCCTTTCTCTGCTTCTTCTAGCTCCTACTGTACAGTGCTCACGCACGGGATGGCGGCATGTCCCTTGCCTATGACTCTTGTTGCGCTCCCTGTGTGAAGCGATGACTTTGCAAGTCTCCTGTACACTTGGCCTTGGTCTACTGGGCCTATGGCTCAATATGCCAAGGTGATGATGTTGCCAGAGTCACCTGCGCAGGAGCTTCTACGTAAGTCTTGTAGCGAGTCATCCTCAAATCCGCATATGAGGCTATCCAAGAATTAGGGTCGCCCATGGCAGCTCCCTATGCTGAGGGTTTTGCTGCACTGGGCTCTAAACTAATGGCAAGCACCCTATCAAGTACTTCATTCAAAGTGCCAATTATTATTAGTAGTAGTAATAGTAGTTGTTGTTATTGTTAAAAGTAATCATCATAACACTAGTCATGATAGTAGTAAGAACAATAGTAGCAAGAATCATACCCTAACCCCTAAACACTGATAATAGCCAAGCATTCTGTAAGCCAGGTCTTGGATGCCACCGGCCACCTGCATCAACGAGGCCCGCACTCCAAGAGCTGTGCCGGGTTGGGTTTAGGGCTTGGGTTTAGAGATTTGAGATTTAGGGTCTAGGCTTAGGGTTTGGGTTTCGGGATTTGAGGTTTACAGTTCGAGGCTTAGGGTTTGGGTGTGGGGATTTGGAGCTTAGGGTTCAAGGGCAGAAAAATAGTGGTTTCTGGTTGCGTTTCATGATTTAGGTTTCAGGGGTAGGGTTTCGGGGCCATCGTATAGTAGCGAAGAATGGCTATCAATCATACTTCGGCTGTCGTCTTGTTTGGTGCTGTGCTTGCTGGTCGCCGCCAGGCATTTTGCATCGGGACTTGGCGACCAAGAATGTCCTGCCGGGTTCTAAGAACTGTTGACTTTTCCATTATAGTAGTTTCCATTTTCTTTTCCATTATCCCAATATAACCCCAATATATCCCCCATATAATCCCTATATATCCGTTTGAAGGGACCTAGGGTTTCCATGTTCTTTTGATTTTCGCCGAGGCGTGTGGATGCAAGCGTGCTTTACACAGCCTCCCATGGATGTCCCTGCAATACTCTTGGAAAAGCGCAGATACTTTCAGCATCCAATGAGACGATGTCCATCAACACAACCCTCTACAACTGCATCCACAGCCAAGCCCTTGAAGCAAGACCAGGGTTTTACTGAGCTGCAAATGAATGAAGAGGAGCATCGAGGGTGTGAAGGCTTCATAGCGCGCAGAGGACAGAGTTTAGCAAGTTTCTACATACAGTGTCCTCCTGATAGTACAACCCCGCAATCATTAGTAACACTAGTATCCGGTATTACGCGGACCCCCAGTCTGTGACCTCGTTAGAAGCCCATCTCAGGTGAATACTGTAGGGGTCTAGAGAATTACCAATATTTTAGCTGAGGGGCTCAGAATGACATTGGTAATTATCTAGGCCCCTACTGCTTCAGCTTTGAGGTTTAACACGTCCGGAGAGATCAAAGTCTGTGACTTCGGGATATCTCGCGTAGCCTTCGGCCAGGACAACGGGCAGTGAATTCAGAATTGGTTTCGTTGTCTTTGGAGCTTGGCCTTCTCATTTAGCATGCTGCAGGTGTGGATAGGATTCAGGGTTAAGGGTTCACCCATTCTGGAGACATGCAGCAGTGTTCTTTGGCGCACCGCTGGCTCGTGTTTTCTCCTGTCTGCAACTTCGCAACTCGTAAGGAGCAGTCGGGGTGACCCATCTTCCATGGTGGAAATAGCACCTAACAGATCAAATGAAGGTCCATACACCACTTTCCACAAACTAGTCCAATTCTTCACTTTAGGAGCCAAGGAAGGTACCATGGCACAAGAAGCAGCAAAACAACTACGAGTTCTGCTTCTACAATCTACAACCCAAAGCATCCTTACGATCAAAAGTGTACTGCGCGGAATGTTACATCTGCATCCAAGTCCCTTACATCCTAAACCCGGAACCTTAAAACCTGAACCCTTTTGACCCTGAATCCCAAACCTTAAACCCTGAACCCTTTAAACCCTAAACTCAAAACAACGACCAGCTTGACCTGCGCGGATGTTTTCGGAGGACGAGGGCTTCGGCTTTGTATCCGCCAAGGCCATCTCTTTTCGTCTTATGTGAGCTATAGCCTAAACTCCTTAAAGGGTCTTATATAGGTTATTATATAGGGGAGTATCATAGGGGCTATGAAGGGAGAAACTAGAAGCCCATATTCCCTACTAAGAACCACCAAGTATTAGTCTTACACTGATCTTCAAGGTCAAGGCTGCGCGTCTCACAAAAGCGATGCGCCTTGCAAGGCGGAAATGAATCCCCAACCTATAGTCCCCCTTAAGTAGATAGAATACGGGGTATGTGGGGATCTTGTTATAATATACCCTCTACTTGAGGCAGACTATAGCCCAAGTAACGTTGTGTTGGAGTGTGCCATCTAGCGAAACTTACCCGTCCTCAAGGAAGAGTGGGGGAGGGGATTCCAACAACAATCCTGATATAATCTTCTGAGATCTCGCCTAAACTCTCTCCCCCTCTTCCCCTTCAGCTCCAATAAGACAAGTAAAGAGTGCCCTGGACTCTAGCTTGCAATACAAGCTAGCTCAAAGAGGGTCTTGACGACTGGTCCAATTCAGTAGCTCCAGAGGCCTCATGCTACAGCGAGCTGCAATGCTGGGTAAACGACATTTCCGATGGCTGGGGTCCATGTTCACAACCAACATACCGCAAGCCACATTTGAAGAAGACTATAGAGGGGGCCCAGAATTTTGACACATCCCCGTTATGATCTTGTTGATCTTCTTGCAGGGAAAGAACACTCCAAAGCTTTGTATTGTCCCCAAACCCAATATAACCCCAATATAACCCGCATATAACCCTTATATAACTCCAATATATCCTCAATACAGTATATAGTAGTTTCCATATTTTCCATCATCGTAAATCCCTGCAAGTCAGCGGCCTGACTGAGGGCTTGGAACCTCCCATGATGATTGTTTCGCTTCCCTACCGCCATGGGCTTAGCACTCGCACTTTTGGGTACCCTAGGCTTACTTACTGGCGTTCTGTAGGGAATAAGGGAACATATGATATAAGGATTATATAGGGACTATATTCCTTATTTCCTACTAGCCACCAGTAAGAAGGTTGCATATCGAAGCTGTGTGTCTGTATACTCCCAGCTGCTTATAAACCGTGCGTGGATGCGCGCTGCATTGCCTGCACGAGCAAAGCCAAGCAAGCACGATTTACTGCAGTGGTATGTGGGCAAAGGCAAGTATATGGAACGGAGGCACTGAAAGCAGCGTCTGAATGGTAGTTTCCATAAATGGAAGGACCCCAATATGGAATATTTTACTCCCCACCCAATACCTATTATGGGGAACTCTTATTTTGGGGCACCCCCAAATGGATTAAATGAGGTGCGATCGAGTTGCTCATGGGCGAGCTCCTGCTGCAACTGGCATTCAGTTGTTGTGATGCGTGGACTGTCTAGGCTGCAATTCGCAACCCCTTTGAGCAGGGTTTAGCGTATTGGAAGCTTGGCCCCGTAACTTAAGAACATATACCCGACCCAAAATGTAGATGTAGTGACAGGCCCCACCAACTGAGGATAAGCACTATGGCCCTGGACTGGACATCTGGTCGGTTGGATGTATTCTGGCAGAGTCCATGCCTCAGAAGGGACCACATTGCGGACAGGGCGGAATGCGTTCCTGCGGGTGGCTAAGGCTTTTGTAAAAGGTAATGGGGATATTAGGATATACTGTATTTGAGAAGCACCCATGTTCAGGCTTCTTTGTTTTGCATGTATTTGGGAGGCCCATGCTACAACATTCTCCTTATGTCAAGATCCAAGTTGTAATGAGGCATAGAAGAACCCTAAGTTGAGCACATACCCAAGGCGAGGGCAGAGACAGTTTTCCAGTAGCCTTCTTTTAAGAGGCGGATGCCCGACATTGTAGCACGGGTTTGCTGCTGCAGAAGCTGTGGTGGCGATGGCGGCAGTGACAGTGATGGTGCTTGGGCTGTTGGTCGTAGTAGTTGCAGTCACAGTAGCAGTTCTCGTGCCAGCGGCATGGCGGGGGTCAGACTAGCACATTACAAGTTAGATTAATTGCAATGAAGATGACGATGGTGACTTATGACAGTAATTGGTACTTGGCGGCCTATGCATCATCATCAACATCTCAGCATCATCATCATCATCATCATCATCATCACCATCACCATCACCATCAGCATCACCATCGCCAGCATCACATCATCATCATCATCATCATCATCATGACTATCTCGTGCTGAAGGATCCTTTTGTGCCAAACTGGCCGACGGCAGCCGTTTTTCGGGGGCGACCCTGAAAATCCGAACAAGCAGCGTCCTCAACTCCTCGCACAGCAGTGTTACGGGGAGGATCGAGGTGGTTCAAAGTCAGGAGTCCATTCTTTGAGTTGCTCCCACTTCACAGTCAGGATCCTAGTATGTTGGACTTGGAGCCACTAAGTTCAACTAAGAAGCATCGCGTCTTGTGCCAGACAACAACACTTGAGGCTACAATTTACTCTTCGCGTGCAAGCTTTTAATCTGTGGGGCAGAGTGGGCGTCGGGTTGTGGGTCTCCTACAGAGCACGCAAAGGCTGAAAGTGGGGTGATGGAGGAAGCAGACAGTCTGGGGCTAAAAGCTTGGGGTTCTGGATACTCTTGGCCCTTTTAAGGGTCCTTTGGACAAAGATCATTCAGCGTTGAAGGTGTGATAAGCTTAACCAGAGGAAGTTCAATGAGAGATGTCCACTACCCCTCATCCCTCTCCGCGGGATCAGCCGACCCTTGCGGACTAATTGCTGCTCTAAGCGTTTGGAATTTGTCCACCATCCCATACAGGCTCGTCTTTGCCATCATCCGACAATTATGGCGTCTTTGAAGTGCTGACTAGCAAGCACCGAAAAGGAGCTTTCTTACCTTGAATGCCCCCCGTTCTCCATCCGGGCTGTGCTTCGACAGCTATTTGCGCTGAGGACAGTCCTTGCATACGTGGAGGAGATCTTCTCCATCATGGGCAAACCCACAGATGAGTGGCGCACTTACTGAGCTGAAGCCACTAGGGCAAGTAGAGCTTCCCGGACCCTGGTTCATGTCCCATGTCGGTAAGTGGCATAAGAGTAGGGAGAAACCAATGCACCTGCTGATGTCTTCATCCCTCGTGATTGCCTTGCAATGGCACAGTGTTGACAGCTTTGGTCCTCTAGGATCAGCGGTTTGCAAGAGATCTTCAGCAAGTGACTTTGGACCCTCAATTTATGTGGGGGAGGCTTGCAGCTTCAAGGGCTTTCGCTGTGCAACGGGAGCAGCTCCAAGATGAACCCATACAAATGCGCTGCTTGCAGCGGAGCTATCAAAAACGAGATCTCCCGGCACACGCTTCGAAGTGAAAAGCAGCGGTACGCGTCGGGAGACGCTTTGCAAGTACATGTCGATCAACTTTAAAAGGCCGCTTGGCTGTACTCCAGCTAGACTCTGGAAAATGCATTCGCAGTTGTTGCGCCTCTCGGGACGGAGTCAAGAATTGCTTTGCAAGTAGCTGAAGAAGCTTGGCGATCTTCCCTGTGGAACCTGCCGGGGAAGCCGTTTTCTGCCTGCGCTTGCTGTTGGGTAAGGACAACCAAGACCATCCTGGAATCCTCGTAAATCTCCAAATCAGGGTTTCCCAAAATGAGGGGTACCTTGGGGGTCCCTATAATAAGGACTATACTATAGTATTTGGTGGTCTACACTGGGGTTCCCCGTATTTTGGGAAACTACCAAATGCTTGCTGAGAATCCTGATAGGGCCTCATGCGCTTCTCATAGATTCTGCATCATGGCTTTTTGTTGGGTTGTCAGAGCCTTCCGGGTCCACTCGTAGGATAGGGCTCCTAAAATTTAGGGTACCAGAAAATTCGAATTTTGCCGAGCCAGATGCGCTGCCTTCAAATGCTCACAAAAGTCCCGGCGGTGGAACCCTCGACCCACACTAAAACGGAAGGACTGCAACGGAGACCCAAAAAACAGGGAACCCCAGTATTCCTGTTACATTCCTACTGTATTCATGGGGTCCCAATGAAGCTCCCCTTATAATCCCTAAGGACCTGGCCGGGTCTCTGCAAGCTCCCAAACCACCGAACCTACGTCAGCGCCAAGGCCCGTAGTGCGGGATCTGGAAGCACACGTAAACCGTGACCTAAAAGTCCAATTACCTGAATGGGACGAAATCTGGGCCAAAATGGTTCAACCTGCGTATTTACATATTGCGTAAGAGTGCCTAGGGCCCTTTGAGGGCAAGGCTTAGAGTACCCCGTGAACTATTTTTGCCAACAATTCTCCGAAAGCTGGGACTGAAGTGCGGCAGACTGACATCCGTATTTGAGTCGACGTGTCCTGAAATAAGCAGGCATTTCGCAGCGAGGTCCTTGCCTATTGGTCCTGAGGTGTCCAGGATACTTGGGGAGTGGGCTGGAGGAGGCATGAAGGTTCTTTTGAACATCCGTTTTGATGTGGAGCCATTGGGAAAACACTTAATCTTGCCGAAAGAATCATCCTTACGGCCATCCTTGAAACTGTTTTAACATGTTTTAACTGATCTACGTCGCGCCGCCAACTGGATCCTCATAAGATATTGCAGACAGGCAGCTGTACTTGAGGTGTGTCACCCTAAGCTAGGAGTCTAAGTCCTGAACTCCTGAGTTTCATCTCCCGCAAGTTTCCAACCGTGCGTAGCTCCCTGCAACTGAACCGGCTACAGCCTTGATGCTACCTCAGTCAGCAACCACTGACCTCGGATGTTTTTTCTACAGGGCTAAGCATGAGCTCACGAAGTACGCGCAAAAGCCGATCTTAAGCTTGTTGAGAGCCCTCCTTTTTGTATGGCCAGCTGTAGGCCCCACTTTAGATGTCGAAGCCTTGCACTGTAAAACAATTCACCCACCGCCGCAGATTTCCAGCTGCAAAGCGCACAAGGAGCAAGGGGATGAGCTCGGGCCCTGATTTGGGTTGAGGACGTCGCTGTATCCCTGTTCGGTCTATCGGGTTTTGGTTGCCTGCTTCGTGCCGTTACCATGCACAGCCTTGTCTGAGTCATCTGGGATCGAAACAAATGTGCTATGTCTTGGAAAGGTGATCTGTATCCCGCATTCATGGCTTCTAGGATCTTGGCCAAAGCTCTTGCAGAAGGGAGCTCTGGTTACAAAGGGTTCAGGGTCCGCAACTGGTCTCACACGATGTTTGATTGGTGATGTTCTTCATGATGGTCAAGATCATGAGGAGAGTGACCATGGGCTAAAAGCTTCGCTTGGGAAGCCGATGTCCAGAACACCCTGGGCCCTGTCCTTCGCAACAGGCTCATTATCCCTATACACCCAGGAGTGAAACTCAAAGTACTCTCAGCTCCACGCGCTCTGCCCTTAGTCCCGGACTGGGAACCCGAGACCCAAAGCTAAAGATCCGAAACTGACATTGCAAGCTTTTCAACTTCAAGTCCCTCATAGACCCTCAACCCTCAACCCTAATCCCCTTGCACACTTATGGAACCCAAGCCTGCGCTACGATGTACCCGCCCCAAGCCTTCAACACGCCGAATGAGCCCTCATACCTTTTATAACCAAACCATAAGGGTGGTTGTCAAAATTATTGTCCCTTTTTGGGTCCCCATTATAATACGGCACCTAATATTTAGGGTACCCAAAAAGGGGCCATAATTTTGACAGCCACCCCTAAGCACCCAAGAAGGGCGAAATTCCTCCGCCACTTCTTCCGATCTGGCCTTGGCAAGCCTGCAGACTCGAAGTGCGCTGCTGGGTTAGCCTCAAATTAGGTCTTGCATAGTCATAGCTTAGCCGATGCAATCAAGCAGCTTCCGTGTTCCTGCAGAGATTTTGGTGCGGAAGCAGTAGGCATCTCAAAGCAAGCTAAACAGACAAGTCTGATTCATGGATACCTTTGAGAGCTTGCGCATGCAGTACAAAAGAGGCCATTATGAGCAAGAAACCTGCAAGTACAACTTGTACCTGGAGATGTCACAACCTTGACGAGGTACTGCCCTACAGAGAGCTTCTTTGAGATGTTGGGTGGATTGCTGGCGCTGGGCCCTCAGCATTAAGCTCCCGACTGTCATGCAAGACCAGTGCAAGTCCTAGACTGTTTTGTAGTGGTTGGGCTCTTGAACACGCGTACTGGCACAAAGGAGTCCGGTTAAGGCTCCGCAGAGGGCCCGCTTAGTATAAAAACATGCCAGCAGCTTGAGGCTATGCCCGAAGTACCGCCTGACAGCTGTCGATGGCTCAGAAGTTTATCCACGCAGGCTTCGGCGTTTCGTACATTTTGGACTCCGGAGCTCAATTCCTGCCTTATTTCTTTTAGCTATCCTTATAGCATCCCAGGACCGCAATTACTGGAAGCTTTGGCGACATGCCAAAGTAATGTTTAAGCAGAAGCTGATCCCCAAAACTGCTTAAGGGTGCATACACACCGTAAGTCCCTGCACACCCGTGGTATCGCATGGAACGCACCCAAAACCTTGAACCCCAAACAATTGTACCCTGACATAATCACAGTTTCCATCTCATTTCCGATGGTTGTTTCCGCTTGACTCTCCAAGGTATCCTTAAACCCTACAATATATCCCTATGTGGCTTTTAGAACCTGTAGTTTCCATTTCGTTTTCAATTTCTTTGCCACTTGATTCTCCACTAGAGCAGACGGCAGGATTTCAGCGCTTCTAGAAATTCTGCACCCTACACCTCTGTCTAAACAGCCCTAAACTCTAGACTCTGAAAAGCCCTAAACCCTGAACAGTAGTTTCCATTTCTTCTCCATTATTCAAGTACATACCCTATCAAAATGTAGTAGTTTCCATTTTCTCTTTCACTATCCCGAAATTACCCCATTATAATTGTCCGGGCCATGAGCCTTGTTTGTGGTTCTCAGGAGGATGCGCTGCAGCACCCCTTCTTCACGAAGGCATGGCTCCGCACGGACAAAAACTTCAGCATGCAAGGGCATATGCGGGGGGTTCCCAAAATTAGGGTCCCATTTTGATACCCCTGAATATTAGGTGCCGTAATATAATGTCTACCCAAAAGGGGTCCATAATTTTGAGAACCACCCATGTGACTGTGACAGTGGTTTTTGAATATTTCTCCCCATTCCAAACGAAGATGCATGCAGGCAACGCAATTTAGGGCATGTGCTAGGAGAAGCCCCAACCGCTTCTCCGCTGCCATTGTAAACTGCTGCATATATATATATACATATATCCATATTACCTGCATATCCCTTAATAGTATGGTGTCGTGTCCATTCTTTTTTTCATTATTCCTTACGTACTCCTTTATTTGGGACAAGCTAAGAAGCAGCAGAAAGCCAGGAGAAGCCCGTCCCAGAATGGCATGCTTGGCACTGGGCGACTGCAAGCGCTGACATCCCGCGTGGCGCAAGATGCCCAGACCTGACTGCATCGGGGGGGGGGGGTTTAGGGTTCAGGGTTCAGGGTTTAGGGAAGATCATGTAAGGTAGCTTCCTAAAATCTCAAAACTATCACTGATAACACCTGACAAGAAGGACTAAGTGCTTCTCTTCCTGGCTGAGTAGGAGCCCTGAAAGTCAGTCGTACGGTCAAGTTGATAAATCATGCATGAGCCTACCTGCCTTTAACCTTGAGGTTGTGATACTGTACGTAGCATACTGAGGTCATGCGGATTTTTTGGCAGCAACAATAGGCTTGGCTGCCAGCAATTTAAGATTGCAATTGAGGGGTGTCTTTTTGGCTGCTCTCCTTTGATAAGGAGTGGTAAATAAGCGCGACTCCTGTTTGTTCGAAATACACACATCTGCAGACAAGTCCAAATAGAAAGTGAGACGAGGAGGCTCAGAGCAACCATCGCGAGAAAGGATTGCATACGCGGTTAGGCAACGCAAAGGAACAGGCCAATTGCGCTTGTCGAGTACCTTGCTACAATCACACACCTGGAATCGCACCTAGAACTTGAGAAGTCGCCTGGACCTGGATCTCATGCTTGGAAGCTCCCAACATATAAGGATGAGGCGCGGAAGAAAAACAACAACGAAGACGAGGCCTGTTCAAGTATGCCTGGTCATCGACAGTCTGGGAACTGGGGCACGGGGTTTAGGACAGGAATTGGGTGGTGAATCTGGAGCACAGGGACGGAGAGACGCATTGCCCGTCCAGTTCTCGGGTTTCCTTCACCATGTGTGTGAGTGACGAATTTACAGTTCCAATTACCGCTACATACCATAATTGCTTCTACAGCAGTGCATGCGCTCATTATTTATACCCCATTATAATATAGTAGTTTCCATTTTCTTTTCCATTATCCCAATATAACCCCAATGTATACCCTATTATGCATTACAAAGACTGTCCACATTTGCTGCAAGTGGCGCTTCTATCAGCAGCTTCCAGCTTGTCAGCTGCTTAGGTGCTTGCTTGGCTGTGTCTGCTGACAATTAGCCTTTTAGGGGTTACTTAGGGGTTATATAGGGATAATGGAAAAGAAAATGGAAACTACTATAATGGGTTGGTTATACAGGGGTTATAGGGTATATATTGGGGTTATATGGGGTAATGGAAAAGAAAATAGAAATTACTATTAAGGGTTTATTGTCTTCCAAAATTAGGGGATGAGTCTCCACGAATGGGATGTTCTCAACGTAACTATTTTGTGGGTGCAAGGGGTTGTTGAGAAGGCAGGAACCTTCAGTACAACAGGGCGGGGAACACCAGAAATTCTTGACAGAGCCCCATCAGCTATCCGGGGCAGTCCCAATCCATGAACTTGAAACCCTTACCGGGCAGTCCCGACAAACTTTCTATACGCCTGGGAAGTGCCTACGTCACCCCCCAAATTGCAGGGGTCATCAGGGTCCATCAGTCAGCCTGATCATCCGTAGATGTAGATGTAGACCCTTCATGGAGCCCTAAACCACCTGAGTTGTCTTGATTTGAGAATTCGTATGAGGACATGCCAGAGTGACCACAAGTGCACCACCTTTTCAACAATAGTCCCAAACCTCACAACCCAAACCCAAATCCTAAACCCATGCCCTCCTCCATAAACTGGGCCTTAAACTCTAACCCGTATATATGCCCAATAATATGATCCTACATATCCCCTTATATCCTTGGATCCGTATGCATCTTGTCTATCATCCCCCCATGGGTTGGCGCTTGGGGAACAGGCCCGGAAGCTGCTAAAGCAGCTCAGCAAGGAGGACGTAGGTGCCAAACTGATATTACATTGTTGGGGGGGGGGGGTTATGGTTCAGGGTTTAGGGTTTAGGGTTTAGGGTCGATATTACATTGTTTGGGGGTTAAGGTTCAGGGCTTCGGATTCAGAGTTTAGGGTTCAGGGTTTGGGGTGTAGAGTGTGGGTGGCTGGCACCGGCTTGTGCACTACAAAAGTTAGGTCCTAGGATTTTTGGTACTTCGAGTTGTGTGGGCTTTGCAACATCACTGTGTCAAGGTTTGGACTTCGATGTGTCAGTATAGGGGTTGTGCTTGTACAGATATTGGGGCGTTTGGCTTTCGATGATTCAAGTCTCTCCCAGCATCTGCAAAACCACCCCTTTTTTGCAGGTTTTTGGTTAAGGTTTTGCCAGAGACACGCGTAGAAGCTCATTGAAGCTTCTACAGCAGATATGGCTGCAGGATGCTCACGGTTGAGGGTTTGGGGTTTAGGGTTGTATACTGGATTGAATGGCTCAGGGCTGATAACTTGGTTTTAGCTTGAAGTGTAGAGCTGGGGTTAGGACTGTAGACCCTGCTGCTGGCGGTAAAGAATGCGGCGGACTAGGATCCAAGCAAATTAGAAATTAGGTAAAAATTTGCTTCGGACATACAGGAGGATTTGCTAGTTTCCAGACCCCGATATAGACCCCAGAATACTGTAATCCTTATCACAGCCGGCCCAGAAAAGGTAGCCCTAGTGTCTCGGAAGTTTCCATTTCAGGGAGACAACTACTTCTTTGCGTATATCACGTCAACGCGGCAACTCATCCCTAATTTTTTGCCCGTAACAGCTGAAGCCCATGGTATAGACAGAACTCTAAAGTCTTGAAGGTGAAATACGTCTCTAGTGCTATTTACGCCCGAAGTCGCCTTATGTGCCCGGAATAGCCCCCATCAGAAGGCCTCAGAGCATAGGGAACGCCGTGACACACCTGGCAGGTACAGAGGAAGCAGGGGACAAGACGAATGGGGGCAAGGCTCCTGTAAACCCTTTTGTATATTGGGCCCTGTTTTCCTAGAGCATCATGGATTTTGGGGTTTCTCAAAACAGTCCCTATAACATGCCGATGGCGAATCAGGACCTCCGCATTCCCTTTATAATGCCTACAATGCCTGCATATCCCTGGGGTCCCTCAGGGCTATGAAGAAACTCTTATTCGTTGGGTGCAGTGGGAATACTGCTGCTTCTTGACAGACTTGAGAAAGCCTGCAGACTTTTCGAACAGTTTGCCCAAGGATCAGTAGGTTGAGGGAGAAAATGCCAGGCTTTGCGTAAGATAGGTTCCCACTCCCCATATAGAGCCCTGGAAATTCCCTGTGCAGTTCNNGAACTGCACAGGGAATTTCCAGGGCATATAATCCCTGCATGGTGGCACTGCCTTCAAGTCCAAGCAGCAGCCCATGGCTGCCAATGTACATGTTAAAACGGTTATAAGTCATAGTAAGTTCTGAGGGTGTATACACATACTTAGGGTTCAGGGACTGGGATAATCATGCAGAATGATGTGGAACATGAAATGGACACATTAAATGTGAGTTTCATGGTATTTGTGGCCATGGGGTGGTGATGAGGTGGGTCCTCTTATTGATAGCCGACAGAGATTGAGCTTAGGTGATTTGAAGCTTTGGAAACCCCAAACCCCCATAATGAGGACCCTATAAGAGCCATGTTATGGTAGTCGTAGGGTTCCCATATTGGGGATCAGGGTTATCACAAACCCTCTTAGCAGCTGCTACACTCCCTCAGTAGTTGAGCTAGATGAAGGATTATGTCTTGTGGCTGTTGTGGGTTGAGACTTCTGATGAGGCAGGCGGCTTATCTTTGTGCCAAAGCAAAGGTCTTGGCATGCCCATGGAACATTGCGAGCTTTTGCAGAAAGACTCACGAATGGACGCTAAATATCTTCAACAATGACAGTCTTGCCCGCATGAATCCCTGTAGCGCTACAAAATTCCAAGTTGGGTGCCTTGATTTCAGAACGGTCAGCCCTGCTCTCTTAGCCGTGCTACTCCCGCAGCCTGAATCCTTTCAAACCTCAATCCCTAAAGCCGAAGCAGGCGAAGGCCGTGCTTGAGAAGTGGCGGGAACAAGCTGAGAAACGTCAGCAACAGGACTGATTGGAAACATGGGGTTCTGAAGGGTTCTTCCGTGATACGAAGTGCCAACACAAAGCGTTCTCCCCACGTCCCAACCGCAATGGAAAAGGGCTGGGCCAGTTGCTAGCATTAAAGCTGGCTAGAACGGAAACAGCGCATGTTAGAGTAGCTTGCGCATATCATTGTTGGAGGCAGCGAGGGCTACTTACAATACGCAAGAGGACCTTTGTGCACTCCTAGAATCTTGGATTCAGATCCTGTGCTCAGAGCATCATAGAGAGACCTGATGTTGTGACACCCCGCCTCATCTGAGTCATAGTCTAAACTCTAAATATTCCCCTTTAATATCCCCGTGAGTAGTCCCCTATATAACCCTTATATGTCCCATTTAAGGATTTCAAAGAAAGTAGATTTCCTGTTTTGAAGATGGGGAGGAAATCAAGCGCACCAACTCCATGAAGACGCAGAAGGCCCGCCCCAGAAGCGCCAATGGTCCGTTCGCGATGGCTGCTACAGTTTTGTGTGTAGTTTAGGCATTAGAGTTTAGGGGTTCGGGTTTTGGATTTAGGGTCCCCTTGGGTTTTCGACTGCTCTACCAAGCACAGATCACAGTGACAGCGTGCCAGCACACAAGCAGACCAAATTCCTGGCCTCACGACGGCATTCCCTGAACTAGTAAGACTAATTTCCATCGTTTTTCATACAATGTTCCATAATCCCTACATAATCCTTAAAGGGAATTTGGCGTGTCTAGCCCTAAGTTACCTCCAGCCCATATCTTCTGTTAGTGCGGTGGGAAGCCCCCTCAGGGTACTTGCTGAAGTTCGGAGGTTGATTGCCCGCAAGTCCCATGTTCTTTGCCGGCTTGGAAGAAGATAGCTCTCAAGTGAACGCCGCCTCCGGCCATACCATCGTCCCTGCAAAGCTCACCGAGATGGCAGTTGTTTGCCCGATTTGCTTCGAGGAAGGTTCAGCGGTGGAGTATGTGCCTTGGATTGCTGGCAGGGCTTAGTGTCTAGGGTTGCATGAAATGAAGGCCGTTCGCTATATGAAGCTTTCTGAAAGTTACCCAGACGCCTGCACCACAGTGGAGAAGAACACGCTACAACCGGACTGCTGAAAGAGGCCTGTAACTCCAGAGAAACCCTTAAGTCAGATATCGCAAGTGAGTTGGAGGAGCAGGTCCTACCCACGGCCTGCAGGGTAAGCAACGGAGACGTCTTCAAAGAAGCCGAATCATGTCGTCATGAGCGTAGTCGTGACGGTCTCGTTGTGGTCCCATCCAGATCGAGGTTAACCGGTAGGCTACGCCTTAGAAATGTCCAGGGCCCGGATCAATGGCTTGGAGAGTCCACATCTGTGGTGCACTCTGCTTCGATAGCCGGTCCGCAGGGAGGACTTCACAAACTCAACGCTGCAGCTGCAGGTAAGAATTTGCGTAAAGATTGCAAGCCTTGAACAATGAACTTTGAGCCCGAAAAGTTACAGTTCACCTTCATCCAAGGCTACCATGAGCAACCACAGTTGGGAGAGTCTAGCTTGCACTTGAGCATTGTTGTTTTTGCTGTTTGGGGCAGGTCTGAAGTTTAGGGTTTAGGGCTTCGGCTTGCTCCAAAATGCAATCCAAGAAATGAAGCAATCCTTGCTATGTGGGCCTGACAAAGCCAAGAAAGTCCAAAAAGGCATCATGCTTTGCCATCCCAGAATGAGCAAGCGGGGGTAGCAATATGGAGAAGGAGTAGCATTAGAAGTACGTAGAGGTAGCCATCGAGGTAGAAGTAGAAGCGTGTGCAGTCGCCTGTGAACGAGCAGTTCTTTTGGGGTGGAGGACATGGCTTAGAGGTTGGGTGGGGTGGGGTGGGGGAACTATCGTTACATCTGTAACATGGCACCTGCATTGGTTTCCGCTTGACGTGCCGAATCCGTAAACCCCAAGTAACCCCTTAAAGCCCGACCCGGAATCCATAATGTCTATCCATGGCTTTCATTGTCTGACAATAGCCTATGGGCCTCCTCGTTGGACCAACTTAAAACCACCAATTTACTACAACCAACAACCATCCCCACCCAATGTACAAATTACAACCAACCAACACCCTCGCAACATATAACAACCAACAATAACCCTCTCCCCCACTACAACATGCTCTGGTAATGTTAGTGGCAAATTTATGACTGAGGACTGAACCACCTTTTGGCACAGGGAAGCGAGGAAGATTCAGGGATATGGACATGCATTCAAGCTTCGGATTTTCGGTTTGAGGTTTAGGCAAAATGACGTACATTCTTGCAAGAGCCCATGTTGATGAATAGAAGACAATCCTTTTGCACCATGGTTTACCTGCCACTACATATGAACGAACCTTGTGTCCTTGTTGTACGTCCATACACTGCTGAAATTTAATGGGAGGTTTTCTCCTTTCTGACTGATGTTAATCATGCCTGGTTAGTGCAAGGTTTGACTGGGGAAGCTGCAACCAAATAATGGTGTTGGTCAAGTCGTACAGTGCGAAGTAGTTCATGACGGGATTATCGGGCTGCATCAGTACCCCCAAAACACACCGCGCATGGTGACCTACGGACTTTTCTTTTGCGAGGGCTCAAATCTCGCCAGTAGGTAGAGTTCAGGCGGGGTTGCTTAACTGGTAGTAGCAGTAGTCAGCAGCTGCAGTAGATTGTGGCTCCCCTTTTTCTAGAACTCTGCCCTGAATTTGGAACAAAGTGCTTGCAGAGGAATGCGCGCTGCGATGCGCACGGCATTTGTTGGGCTTGCCTGAACACGTACGTGTCTAGCATGCAGAAAGAAACTTGTGGGAGGTTGCTGTCGTTACCCTGGTAGAACATATTAGCACACCAGAGTACCTCAATTCCCAAGTTTGAGAGTAATTAGGATCTTGCAGGGTCTTTAGTATCACCCGCAGGGCCACCTGCTTTTGACAAATACCCCAAATTCATCTTGATCTGGTAACCTTAAGTTCTCAGTTTTCTGCGCACAGCTGTCACAGGTCTGCTCCAAAACACGAAATACCTCTAAACACAGAATCTCCGACACAAGCCCTCAGCTCGTAGCATGATGCTTATGAACCCTGATCAAACTGGTCAGCCTCTCCTAAGCCCTATGCGCATAAATTCAAGGTTCGCGCCGCAAGAGACTTGCACAGACCCTGAAGACCCGAACCATAGAGTCTTGAAAAACCTTGAGTGAGGCCATCCTAGACACTGAATGTATAACCCCAACAGATTTTTACCATTACTATTGTTCTTGTCTTATGAGTAGTACGACTTTTGCAGTTTTTACGATTATTTTCTGATGACTAAGTTCAACTTATATAGCCCAATATAATCCTACATGATTACAGTGGTTTCCATTTTTTCCATTATACCTATGTAACTAATACTATTACTAGTATGACATTGCTCAGGTGGAGCTGCAGATTCTGGACCAGGGACACTTCAACTTGAGGTGTCCGGGGATTGGCCACTCAGCTATGCGGGTCCTGAGCTTGGGGTTTGGGCCAGTGGAGTTCTTCTACCTTTACCGTTTGTGTGCATGTTGTGTGCGTTTGTGGCTGTTGCATTTCATTTTTGGGAGCAGATGCTGGGATAGAGGTGTATGAAGTTTTGTTGGTCGGTCGGATGGTGGTCGCATTCTCTGCCTCAGCTGACTAGGGACCCAACTTTGCAAGACGCGGTTTAATAGAAGGAGTCTCCCAAGCGCAGCACAGGACCAGCAAAATCGTGCGTTCCCCCAATGAAGCATGGAACATCATGGAACCTGAAAGGGTACTCTTCACAGACTACATGGCGGCTCAATGTTGGTTTTTGGGAGGGGCATTGGGGCGAATGATCGGTTCTTGTCGGTTGCTAGGCCCAAGTCATACGGCTAGGTCTGTGGGTTTACAAGGAGCTGCCCGCAAAGTATAGGGGCCTTTTACACGGGGACCAACATTGTTGAGATGCCTTGGCTTAGCAGCTTCAATTCCTGAACCCTCACGTCCTGCACCGTGAGCTTTCCAGCCTTGATTGCATGTGAGGCTGCAGCTATCGCCTGCTCCCCTTGGACGTCGAGAGGGCCCTCGAGGCGTCTGAGGACACGCGTCGCGAAGAGGCGCTCCAGCGCTACAGCGACTGTGGCTTCATTGGATGGAGTTGTTATCCGCCGTGAAGGGGAATGTGTATGCAAGTGGTCCAGAGTAGACTCCCACACCGCATATTCTCCAAAAGTGTCTTGTGATACCTGACTGGAGTCGTTTCAACCCTCTCGGGGGTAAAGGTACTGTAGGTATATTTGTTGAGACCTCTTATTTGGGCCCTATATACCCCTATATAGTACCCATATATCCCTATCTATCCCCTTATAACCCCCTTAAAGGGACCCTATTATTTGGAACTACCATCCCAACACGGCCCAGGCAGCATGCGCAGTGCAAGTTGCTTGGACTGCAGCGATCCGAGGTCTTCTCATCAGGCTGTAGCCTTGATCCCCCCAAAAGGAACCCGCAGATTATTAGGCATAAATGAAGGTTCTATATCTAGATAACTATAAATTACGACTAAATGTCCCCTTACGAAGGCCTTAATGGTCCCTTGTTTTTAGGGTTCTTTTGTGGAGGAGGTCCTCATGAAAGAGGAGGTCCAGGTTTTGGGGGCAGGCACTGTCACGCCCTTGATGCTTTAGGGTTTAGGGTTTAGGTTACGCCCCACATTCTATTTGATCCTTACTGCTTCCGCCTGCAATTAAAACTGCATTCAACACATGTTCGGGAATCGGGTACCGCAGGGTATCTCAGTGGTCCGGGTATACGAGCTATAGCTTGAAAGTCTAGATTGCAAACCCGAAACCCTAAACCCTGGAGCCTTAAACCCAAAGCCGCAAAACCCTGATGTTGTCAAGGCCATGCCGAGCGACTGAGGGAAGTGATTTGGGGAAGCACAGGGCCTTCGGAATGCTGGCTTCTGGAGGAGCTTCCCCTACTGGTAAACCTACTGGTAAACGCCCCCGCCCATTTGGAACACCGACTTGCTGAATTTATGAACTTGGGGTCATGGCTGCCAATTAATTGTACACTGCACACCTTCTTGTGGGAGAAAAGGAGACGCGAAGTTTGACGCATGCTGACTCAAATCTTTGGTTTCATGGGAGGTTAAGGTCTGAGGCTATTGGAGCAGAGGGCTTGGGTGTTACAGATTCGGGGTGTAGGTTTTATTTGGCTTTGGAGCTAAGGGCTTTGTGGGCCCACGTGTTTCGGCTTCCCCGGCACTGATCAGGGTACAACATTAACCTAAACCTGACATTTAAGCCTAAACCCTAGATGGTAGTTTCCTACTTTAAGGGGCCCAATATACACCGCAAAAAGATTGTCATCCCTAGCATGGGGACCACCAATTAGGTACCCCTAATTTTTGAAAAAGCCTAGATTACACTCCCAAACCCTAAATTAAACCTTCAGTTGGTTTCCAGCGCAGGAGT